TATAGGCTCGACTTAATCAAGCTTTTTGACTAGGATTACAGCAGTTTGCTTTCTCTGAGAAAAGCTCATCCTTGAGACCACCTATTCTAGAAACACAATGGTGTTTTCAACTTTGCCTTGGCTTCATATTAAACATGAATTTCATTGCAAAAAATAAACTTATCATTTCATCTTTGAACAATAACATGTTCAGCTTTGATCAACCAAAACAAAAAAAGCATTTCATGAAACAATAAAGAAAATATATTTACTTGTCAACCTACCAAGAGACTGGCAGATGACATCAATTAATAAGAATTGATCATGGGAAAAAGTCAGTGTATGATGCACACATATCTAAAAGAAAACCAAAATTAGATTGTCAATCCGATTACAGACACCTGCTAAATGCTAAGTTATCGAATTTAAGTTGTCCTATCACCTCTATCATTGAGATCACTACTTTATATTGAGTTATCAAGTGAGTTGAGAAAAGATTTTATAAACGGTATAGTAGTTGTCACTAACAAATGAAAATAGAAATTCAATAATGTAGCACAATTACTTTGTTGAAAATGCACTCATGCTAACACATGGGGCAACTAAGAGGAATAGCTTGACTCAAACATGCAGGTAAAGAACACAAAAAATTAGTAATAAATCAAATAGCTTAGAAATTAGCATAATAAAACATGAATCAAGAAAATCATCCAAACATTTAATGTCCATACCAAACTTTAGTTCTGAACCACATTTTAGGAGGCTCAAAGGAATAATCAACTGCAGATACATAAACCACCAACATCAGTTTTTAATTTGAATGTATAAAGATATAATTAATTTTGTGTATTAAGGAACCAGAGGAAGTAATAATCTCTGTAAAAACAACATGGAAGCATAACATTAACTAGCAACATTTTCTTGAATAGAGAACTCCAGATATCATATGATTACAGTAAAAAAAAAGCCAATCAGGCATGCATCATACTCATAGAAACAAGGACAAAGACAAGGACCTACGGCTATGATGCATGCATATATGCTATAAATGTTATCTCTTAACACGTTATATTTATGTTCATGCAAAGTAAAGCATACATGTATCTCCATAATCATTTTTGTGCCTGATGCATACGAGCATACAAACATTTTAAATATTTTATACAAAGTCTTAAGAGAGTGCATGCAACACTAAAAATCATGTCCCGTTTGCTTTCTACATAAATAGCCAAAACTACAAACTAAAATGCTTTTCATTCTAAGTTGAGTTCTGAATAAACTTGGTTCTTACAGGGCATGAGGTCCTTTAACTATTAGTTGACATTTTAGAGAAAATTCTCAAATCCACATAAGCTATTTGGCAGGACTTTGGATAGGCGGCGGTTCATCGGCCCACACTAAAATGCAAAGATTCAAAAGAAAAAGTATAATGCAAGCCAGTGCTGCTATATATCACGGCCCTCTTTTCCACAATCTGGTTCTTTGACTCAAAAAGTCAGAAAACCAAAACAGACTCACCCCTACTTAAAGGTCAATTTAGGAAGAGAAATCCATCTATTTGAAAGAAAACATTTGCGTACACGAATTGAAGTTGGCTTCTGATTGTCTTTGGCTCAGCTACCTGATGTCCTCCCCACTTTAAAAGAATTTAAAATTTTGAACATGTACTATCCCACCTAGACGCTTTGCTATACCCATCAAATTGCAGTTTGATCTCCAAGATCAATACACACACCTAATGTGACAATTTGAAGAAAACATTAGCAGGTGTCGGGGCAGTGGTTCTGTTTAAGAAAGACCTATTTGTACTAATTAAATGATAGTTCTTGCCAACTAATCAGAAGTATCTAGTTTGACTTGCAGACACAGTACAAAACCAAACTAAGCAATAGCTGTCATAATTTAGGCTCACAAATTCTAGTCCAAACAATCCCTGCTACTTTGAGAAAGGACAGAATGTCACTGAAAGTTGATAAAACTTGAAGATCCATATATATCATGGTGATTTTAAAAGGAAAATAATGACTGAAATTTGAACTACAGTTTGAGGAAGATAAGGAAAAAATTCATTGGAACATATCCAAAGAAATCCCAAATTACAATAAACATCACAACTTGATTTTTTCATAAACTGTTAGAAACAAGTTCTTAGTTGGAGGTACGAAAGTGGCAGAAGTGGCAAATTCTGCAAGTTTAGGACAAGTGAATTATAAAGACATATAAATGCAAATAGAATACAGCATGGGCCTAATTGCAGCAACTTGCTATCACGAATTTTTCACACCTTATATATAGGTTGATCTACTGTAATGATGGTGCTGAAAATGCCATATCCATGGGCAAAGATTTAGCTCCTATCAGTTCTCGCGTACAGCAGCATGTTGACATCATTATTCTTCTTGCACATCATTGTAAAGGCACGTTGACACTAGAAAGTTATCATATTTCTTAAGATTCATAAAATGGGGCTTAGATTCTATTACACATTATTTAGATAGTGATTAAATGAAGAGAGAACCGTCAAAAACAGTTTTGACAATTCTGTTTAACCTGGAGAGGAAAAAGTCAAAACATTTGCAGGAAAAAGAAAAAGGATTCACAAGACCCTCATTGGCCACTAGAAAATGCTTTACTTGAATGATTTCTTCTATGTTTGGCAGCCTGGAGGGACATGCAAGGTTGTCTTTTTGTTTGGCTTTTTTCCTGAGAAATTAACTTTTCACTTCACGAGTCACTTTCTCCTTGTTGAATCTCATATGGCTCCTGCTACAACTTCAAATATACTACGGATGATCAATCCAACAAAAGTAGACATAACACATACTATTAGTTTGAATTTGCATGATTGTGCACACTAAGAAGTTTTGTGGTATTCGTCCTGTTACTTAATAATTTCAACCATTTCCCTCTTTGATCCCTCCATTATTTACACGACATGGTCATCAAATACACTCTTTATCATTGAAACAAAACAAGGGCTTTGTACATTCTTCTTCCAGATTATATATTCTGTTATATAACTAGTTCTCTCAACTTACAAGAAGCAACAATACACCAACCACTCTAAAAACCCTAAACCATTGCCTTGCATCAAGAAACTAATATAATAAATCTACAAACAGCAGCAAAAGAAAACCGTCATAAGATCCGTTCCACCATCGTAGGAACCCCTAACGACTCGTCATTTTTTTCTCTTGTTGAGAGAATAAGGGAAAGGGAATCGTACTCGGCAAACGGATGTCAATGTGGAAGGTGCCGCCCTTGTAGGGGGTGGATACGGGGCCGGAGAGGTGGCTCCCCCCCTCCCGGAGATGGCCTAGTCCCAGTTGCACTCCGCCAACTCCTTCTGAACCCCAGACACGTCCAACATCCTCCCCGATCACCTGAGTTCTCGGCCAGGAACGCCGCAGATACGAAGCAGAAGAGGAACCCCAAAATCGATGGAAAGGCTGATGGCGAGAACAGACTGGGATGCGGGGAGAGAGGGTACGAAGAAAAGCGAGACCGGCTCTCGGATCGGGTGTTCTTGCGGAACAGGTTAAAGAGAGCTTATAAGTGTGAAAACTCATAGCTTACAAGTGTGTCAGGTATCTCTTACACGGTGCTTTTTGGAATTTATATGTTCTAAAAGGATAAAATTGTGCGGATATGTTCGGACAATTCTTCGTGAGCCTACGAGCTATACCAATGATTGATCGACCAAATGGTCCTTCTCAAATTGACGCTAGAAGAATGGCCCACGATCTGATCCCTTATCAGATTAACACTAAAGGAAAGGTCCAAGACCTGCACCTCGACTAAGCAAACTCGCTTGTCTGAAGAGTTTTTCGAAGCATTTTTTCCTCACAATTTGTGCTATCAAATTAATTCCTTCGATTATCTCTGTAATTTATTTAGATGGAGATGAGAACAAATATATGTTTTCGTAGCTTAATGTAGAGCCAACGTACAAATTATTGAGATTAATGTATAATATTGGAACCCTTATCTTACTTGATTGATCTATTTAAGAATGGTTATTTTTTCTAATAAGAATTGAAAGTTTTAGGTTTACAATTGAAAAACACACGTTATGCTATTTTCCAATTTGGATGAAGATTATAAGAAATATTAGCAATATGTTACATTTTTCTCTGATTTTATAAATTTAATAATAGTAATTAAATTGATTCACCTAATGACATGAATATAATAAATAAAGTTATGAAGACACTGACCTACTTTCAAAGAAATTTAGCCTTTGATGAATATAATAATTAATGAGTTGATAGAATGTTTCAATCATTAGATTATGTGGTCCTATTTAATTAGGTAAAATATATTATAGATATGATTGAATTCTGATTATGATTATTATGGTTATTGATCAATAAAAAAAAAGTTAATAGGATTCCTTAGAAGATATTTTTGATGGTAGCAACTCGCTCTCACCGGGACCTCTAGTGACATAAAAGGTACATATCAATAGTGTGTATATTATCTTGTGTAAGGTATCGGTGTTTTGTTTGAAGTTGTAAAGTCAGCTCCTTTGTGGTAGTTCGCACTCTTGCACCATAAAAGATCTCTGAAGACTTTTCCAGAATGCTTGATAGTTGTATTACGCATCTAAGATATATTAATAGAGAATAAAGGAGTGGTTGGAAGAATTGAGTTGATAAGAAGAACATCTCCGAGTGATAGGGAGAGGTCAGATGATTCCAAGGCACAGCACGCATCATCTGAGGAGAAACCCCTCGGATGGGGGTTATCAGAACTATGAAGACGAGCTGCTTCTCATGGTCTGATTTCATCTCTGGATATTTCCCCCTCTCGCTTTCTTCTTCTTTCTGTTCTGTGAACTTCAACATATGGATCATAAACGGGCCGCCGCTTATGCATGCACGAGCGCAGAGCAGTGTTAGATTTTGCTGTACGATCCGCGCTGATGTGTAGGATGCTTGATCATGCACAGAGGACGTACATGTTCGCTGTCCCGAATCGGGTTTTCATGGTCTTCAGGTGGGAAGAGGAAGACAACAAGATAAGCAAGAAATAGTTGGAGTTCTTTCTTTCAGTTTCCATAACAAGAGCTCAAGCAAATTGATCTATGATCAAACAGCAAGGGATTTACATGGACATCTTATCAATATCAAATACTCCTTTAAATCATGAGGAGAGTACTAAAAGCAAATCCACAGTATTCACTCTCTTTTCTCGCTATTCGATTTCATCCCATAGTGCATAATTTTTACCACTGACTAGAAGAATCAATGACGAATCATCGTGTTCTTCGGCTTCTCCACTGCTCCTTTCCATGTCCATTTCTCGACCACCCTCACACACATATCATGTCGACGTTATTGTCATCCTGCATAGATAACAAAGACGAGAGAAAACTAGTGATAAGAATCTGTGCAAACACTAATCACCAATTTAAACCACTGTAAACTTCTTATTCTTGTGAACGAAGCTTTGATTATGTTCATTTACAAGTAATCTACAAAGAAACGGAACGCCGAATAACATAAAGACAGCATCAACAACAATCAGTGCGTTCCCTCTAGTCTTTGTTGCTGGTTTCAGCTGTCATACAGTGAACATGACAACCAAAGCACCAACCACCATGAAGTATGAGCTCAACAAACCACCGTTTCATGGCATCACATCCTCATTTAATTCCCTTTCTCGTTGTTCTTTTAGTTTCAGTTGTGTGTATTGGCAGAAAATGACAATCGTATGGTTTATACCTCCATTGACGTCAAGCTCCTCGTCCACTGCAGGCTCTTTGGATGCATGAACGAGGTCGCCAAATTTGTCTGCCTCCACCAGCTTCAGAATATTCTCTGCCTGTGTCCATAATTATCAAACAATTATTTCGATTTCAGATAAAACTTCAAAAAGCTGCGGGAAACTTCAAGTGACCTTTTCTCGTGGAAGATCAAACACCACCACGGCGCCGTTGTAAAAGATGGTGAACGGAGCCACCGCAGGAGCAGTTTCCATCTTTGATCTGAAAGGAAAACCCATGCATGCTTCTTTATTTATATATCCTCGACAAAGAAGGAAAGAGCAAATAGTACAAATTTTTGAACCTTATCTACCTCGAAGCGGAGCTCAGCACCGGCAGTGGCGTCTTTCTCTTCCCCACCGCTGCACTGGAGGTGGCGATCACGCTCTTTATGACATTCGGATTCATCTTCGAGATCTCGCCATGAAGCTCTGAGATGGCCCAACACAAGGTTAGATGTTCACTTGAAGGAGAGAGAGAGAGAGATGTACCTCGGAAGGACTTCTTTCGCTCCATGATGGGTTTCTTGGCAGCTCCGGTACTGTCGATGCCGAGGAAATCATGCTCCACGGAGACACCCGACATGGTTTCCGACACCATACGCTCGTCGATCTCCTTCGGATCACACAACAAGGAACACCGAGAGATGGATTCTTAAAGGTGGCAAGCGATGGAGAGAAGTAGATGGCACGAGGAAAACGGGCGAGGCATGTCGCGTATCGAAAGAGAGAGAGAGAGAGAGAGATCGATAGGGACTGCCAGCGGCAGCCACTAAGCGTTTTATGCATGCATGTGTCTAGATTTTAGTACACGGAAACGTGGCAAGTTTTGTTGCTACCGAGTCAAAGAGTCCAAAGTAAACGATATATTAGTCGGCTGATGTATATATATCACATGTTTCTCGTGGATTTGAACAGCGTGTGGTTGAGATTTCTTTCTCCGAGAGAGCTACCGGTGGATAAGGACATGGACAAGTGGGGTCAGTCCGAAGGCACTCTTTCTTCTTCCCTCCATCTTCTGTGTTGGTGTGTATGTTGTGCAAGAACAGCGCTCTTCTTTTCTCCACGTTGTTTTTGGTGTGCCTTTTGTTGCTGACTTACTCAACCACCGTTCCATCGCGTCCACATAGGAAAACGTGACGTTGATGAAGTTTTAGTAGACTAATTATTTCAAGAGATAGCTTAAACAGCTTCCGAGTTGGATTCGAATGATCCAATATACAACCACGATATTATATTATATTATATTATATATGTAGTATTTTTTAATCCAATAATTTGATATTAAGCATGTTGGATTAATAATTCATGCTCTTTGAACGTATGTGAAGTACTCATAGCATCAATATTTTTATTGGAAGGAGAACATGCAATGTATCAAATTGACAAACCAGACATTTTCCATGTTCAGAATTCATGAAGCCCTTCAGACATATTTTGACTTTCTAACCATTTTAGAGGAAAAGAAGATTAAGTGCTGGATGAGTGGGTCACACCTCACATCAGAAGCAAAAGGCTGATGAATCTGAAAGAGCAAATTGACTTGTAGAAGACTCAGATGACCAGTGCATGGAATGCATTTTGCATGGTGATGGCAAAGAAACTTGTGATGATTGGATATGGAACATATGCACTGCCTCAATTTCACTGTAAGCTCAATGGGCTACAATAATCTTTTACTAACTACACACACTGAGTGTGACATTGATAGAGAGAGACATGGGACTTCAAGTGTTCATACCTCACACGCTCCGTTCAATTATATAAAGATACAAGATAAATGTTCGACCTTACAATAATTGGAGCAACATCACTTCAGCCAACATCCACCAAACTGCACTCAAAAACTTGCTTGGTTTGTGTGTGTGTGTGTGTGTGTGTGAGTGTGTGTGAGAGAGAGAGAGAGAGAGAGAGAGAGAGAGAGAGAGGACCATCAATCAACCATAGTCTTTGTCGACTTTGGATTAAATCGAAGTGTCACATATATCGTAAAATTAAAATATTATATCTTTAAACAGATTCGATAAGTAGATAAAAAAGACTATATACGACCTAATGAAATTAGACACTCATGTCAATTTCATGGTATAATATTCTGAATTTTTTTCTCTCTCTTAGGTGAAGAAAACTCCTTTAGAAAATAAAAAAAAGCATTAGCATACTTCTTTAAATATTTTTCTCTAATTTAGTTATAAATATTTATTTGTAAATAATATTAGATCATAGCAACGAGGTTCATCTATAGTCATCACAACGAATCAAGCATAAATCTCTTAAGAAGAATACACCTAAAACATTGGTCTTATGATGATATACGACACGCACTTGTCAAAAGGTTACGAAGCCACTTATCACAGTCTAAAGTGGCACGAGTCCTAATAGAGACCACTTGCGAGGCATCTATAGACTTGGACGTAGCTACTTTGATCTCGTCAATGGTTATGCTTGTTATTGGTACACTCTTTACTTTGTAGTCGAGCACGAGTTCTGCTAAAGCTCTCTCTCTCTCTCTTTTGTCCGACGACTTCTCCCCCCCGTTTGGTAGCCCACTGTCCATGATCTTGGAAGGGCACGAGGAATTGCAATGAGCATCAACCATGCTACGACATCGTTAATCATTAAAAAACCATGCTAGCTAGGAGGGGTTTCTCCATCATCACTTATAATGCTACCTTTCTCTGCTTAATACTTTCTCCACGATCTTACCACTAAGATTTTCCCTATTGGTGTGGTGCAAGTCACGATGACACTTGGAATCGGACCATAATCTTAACTCAGGCTCAATAAGCTCCTAATTGAGTTGCGTGATTACACCCGAAACCAACTCAATTACGATCTAACTATGACCAATTAAGACAACCGATTACGAGACTAGAATTTTATATTGTCCGACATGTCATTGGTTCATCCGACGCTTCGTCCGATCCTTTAACGCATTATCCTCTCATTCGACGTATTGCCCAATCGGCATGTTGACCTCCTATAACTTTTGATCTCTTTGGTGTAATGTTCGATCCTTCGGCCCGATACCCGAACTTACAGCATGAAGTCTTTTTGCCGACACGTCGATCAATCCTTCGATCGACATCCAATCTTCTGACATGTTCACTCTGACCCAACATATGATTCTTCCTACTTTAATCGATTTATCTTTTTTGATCAAAGTACTACGTCGCTCAAAATACAGATTAGATCATAAACTCATCAATTGATTTCATCATCAAAATCTTAGATTCAATAGACAAAGCATAAATTCTTTAGACTTATCCAAGTTAAATTTGATTCATAGATTGTTATAAAGATCCTGAATAAAAAGAGTAAGGTATCATGGAAATCCTTTGACTCTTCTATCACATATAACAAGCCTTCTCCTATTGGGAAGCTATATATGTATTGATTTGATTATAGAAGGGGGTTTTGTCGGATAAACTCTCGGTGCAATTTTTTTTTGAAATAAGAAAAATGATATAGACTTTTTCTATTCTCAAATTGAATAGAATAAATGAGGTATGAGATACGAGCATTTTTGTCGTACGTAATAGCAAATACTTACTTCAAAAACCATGCTAGCTAGGAGGGGTTTCTCCATCATCTCTTATAATGCTACCTTTCTCTACTTAATACTTTCTCCACGATCTTACCACTAAGATTTTCCCTATTGGTGTGGTGCAAGTCAGATGACACTTGGAATCGGGACCATAATCTTAACTCAGGCCCAATAAGCTCCTAATTGAGTTGGCGTGATTACATCCGAAACCAACTCAATTACGATCTAACTATGACCAATTAAGACAACCAATTACGAGATTAGAATTTTATATTGTCCGATATATCATTGGTTCATCCGACGCTTCGTCCGATCCTTTAATGCATTATCCTCTCATTCGACGTATTGCCCAATCGACATGTTGACCTCCTGTAACTTTTGATCTCTTTGGTGTAATGTTCGATCCTTCGGCCTGATACCCGAACTCACGGCATGAAGTCTTTTTGTCGACACGTCGATCAATCCTCCGACCGACGTCTAATCTTCTGACATGTTCACTCTGGCCCAACGTCTGATTCTTCCTATTTTAATCGATTTATCTTTTTTGATCGAAGTACTGGGTCGCTCAAAATACAGATTAAATCATAAACTCATCAATTGATTTCATCATCAAAATCTAAGATTCAACAGACAAAACATAAATCCTTTAGACTTATCAAGTTAAATTTGATTCATAGATTGTTATAAAGATCCTGAATAAAAATAGTAAGGTATCATGGAAATCCTTTGACTCTTCTATCACATATAACAAGCCTTCTCCTATTGGGAAGCTATATATGTATTGATTTGATTATCGAAGGGGGGGTTTTATCGGATAAACTCTCGGTGCAATTTTTTTTGAAATAAGAAAAATGATATAGACTTTTTCTATTCTGAAATTGAATAGAATAAATGAGGTATGAGATACGAGCATTTTTGTCGTGCGTAATAGCAAATACTTTCTTCGCTATCTTACAACTCAAGATTTTCCCTATTGGTGTGGTGCAACTCACGATGCCACTTGCAATCGGGACCACACTGGTAATGGGTTTGCTACCTTCCTCTTCTCGGTCGGTTTCTCTCCAAGCAACTTCTCAACCTCATCATCTCATCGTCGCACTTCATCGAAGCTTTACTTTCTAGATTCTCTACTTTGATAAGTGTATCTTCCTCCACTGTCGTATCAAAGTCCATTGTTTTGTTTGCTATACTTGAGAGCAACAATCTTTGACTACGTAGATATCTAAATTTGGGTAAAATTGTTTAACCTTCCCTTATACATGTAGTAGATATCTAAAATTTTTAATTCCATTATACTAGTAAAAAAGAGCACAATGGATTTACAAAAGTGTGTATTAAATTTTTTACTGCTTCATAGCTCCATGATATTTTTTATTTTTTTAATGATGTTAAAGACTATATTCATCTTCTAATATTTTTAGACATGTTATTAGAAATTACACAAGACATATTTCTTCTACTGAATGGATACCTAAGAAGCTAACAACTTATATGCTACCTAATTATAATATTGGTTCCTTTGTGCCTGATAAGACTCACTAGGATACTCTTGAAGAAGAGACGGGTAGCTAGTCAATTCCTTCGAGCAGAGGTCTTCTTTGTTATCTCCACGTAATATTGTCCTCTTGTAATCAATGAAAAAATGGATTCACCTAACAAAACAAAACAACCACTAATCATGACCGATAGTCTCGAAGCAACAATGACAAGGAGAAATAACTGATGTATTTATAAACCTCAAATGACTTAAAAAATGAAGTAAAAAAAATCACATCTCGGATTTCCTGGATTCTGATGGTACCACCACTTGTGCTGAGCAGTATCATCACCTACAGTACTGTCATCAGGCGATACCATCACCCTGACGATACCATCACTTGAGAGCTTGGAAAAGTGTGTTCTTGATCATCATCTAATCTTGGATGATCGAATATTGGCCTAAAATAATCTTAACTCAGGCCTAATGGGTCCTTAATTAAGTTGATATAGTTACACTAAAGACCAACTTAATTACGACCTAACTACGACCAATTAAGATAACCGATTACGAGACTATAATTCTATATTGTCCGGCATGTCATTGGTTCATTCGATAC